ATACAGTATATATATATATATATATATATATATATATATATATATGAATGTAATTTATTTGTAATATTAATATATTTGCTTTGCATGTGAATAAATGCATTACTAATATTTATCAGAGAAATAAAAATAAATGAAAAAAAGTAGAAAAAGATGTGTTTTTGTGTACCAAAAGCATGTTTTCATTGCTGTTGGTGTTATTTTTGTTAGCTGACTGAGCCTCAAATGTAAATTTAGCACATTTTTATTTTCTCTGTTATGTAATTTCCTGGAGAAAGTACATATTGTCTTGGAAAAATGAATATTAACATGGAATCAAACACATTATGTTTTTTGTCTATCTAATATGATGCATTTAAATATAGTGCTTTGACATGACATAATTAACCATAATACATAAAACTAACTAACAGCATTAAATTCAGAGCCCAAGCAGAAATAAAATGATCATTTTGTGAAGTGAGAAGCTGCTTTTGTTTAATCAGCTTCAAACATTCAGTAAATATGCTTTCCAGTAAATGACAGCCTTTGTCATGTATATGAGTGTGTATATGAGTGTGTGTGTGTGTGTGTGTGTGCTGAACACGAGCTGTTATCTGATACCTGAACAGACTGCTGTGGGGAGCATGTCCACTGACTGTGTGAGGTCACTCTCAGACAAAGCCGAACACACACTCACCATGCATGAACATCTCTGTGAGTACCGCAGCCTGTTTTTCACTGCATTTCTGCATGTATTTCTGCATGCACAACCTTATTTTTTTAAGGAAAATAACTACATATTGATAATAGAAGGGTCAAAATATGGGTAAACAGCATAACAGATGGCGACAGTCTGACTGATACATACAGACCAGCAGTGTGAGCCTGTTTCTGAAATGTTCTTCTGCAGATGGGAACCCTGAAATGGACAATCAGAAGCACAGCTCCGAGGAACATCAGCAGGATAATCTGGGACAGAAGAAACCCCGCAGGAAAGACACTCCCGTACTCAACATCCCTCCACTCATACCAGGCAAGACTTTGATTTCTCACGTTCTCACTGTCATCCTTTCACTCAATCACTCTCTCCAGCCATCTCTCGCTGTCTCTTTGTCTCAGTTCTTTGCACTTTTCTTTTGCAGGCGTGAGACTGATGAAGACAGAGGCTCGAATGATTCATCAGGAGGATGAGGAGAAGGAGATGAAGAAGTAGATGTGTTTCAAACATTTGGTTTTCATTGTTGTTAGTGTTATTTTTGATTGTCGTCTGAGCCTTCATTAAATGTAGGTTTTGCAGATATTTTTTGCGTTGTCATTTCGTCACTTGAGCGTTACACTGTATAAACAACTTGGAATGATGCAAAGAACATATTTTAATTACAACATGAACATCGTAGCGTAAAGGTTGGAAAAGTGTGAATTTGGTGCATGTGTTTCATCATTCATGTCATAAGGACAGCAGAGATGATATTTGAATTTTCTAGTGCATTAGTGTATTCCTATCAGTGTTGTATAAGAGTTTTTATGCATAGTAACCCTATAGAATGTGATGAAACAGAGTTTAAAATAGCTAGACTGAGATATATCTAAATTTTGACGACTGCAGATATATGTTAATTCAGTTACACATTATCTCACTATCTGAGGCACCATTGTAACTGACCATAAAACACAATTTTTCACACACTTTTCCAAAAAATAATAAAAAAAAAAGAATGATTGATTATTTCAAAGGGTTACTAATTGCACATCAAAAATTTGGGATTAAACAGGTTAAGTATAAACTTAAGGTAAATCTCAAGAAACCTGTCAAGAACATGTCCATGTCATATTTCACCCCAAAATCAAAAGACCAAAATGGTAATTATGGTAATTAAAATAAAATTATATGGAATGTGCATCACAACTGAAAATAAGAATGACCAAAACTAAGTAAAATTATATGGATGTGTGTGTGTGTGTGCACGTATATATAATATTACAAATAAAAAAGAATTTATATATTGCTCAATTAAGCAGATTTTCCTCCCCAATTCTTATTACGGTTAAAAGAATGGAAAACTATAAAACATTGTTTTTAAAGTACTCATTCATCATGGAAGTTGTAGTGCCTTTAGTTTATGTTGATATAAATACTAAATAAAATGGCATGGGAAGTATAGTATATTTTCATATGGGAATGCAATTAAAAACATAAAATACTGTATTAAGGCAATGGGCATCACAATTGAAAATAAGAATTCTAAAAATGTCTAAAATAATTATATATTATACATTAAAATGTAAATAAAACGTGAATTAAAAAATAAATAAAAATACAAATAAATGTTCCTTTTTTTACTTTTTTTTATTTGTCTGTATACACTACAGTAATAAGAATTTTCAGGGAAAGTGCTTAATTGTCAAAAACTGTCATAATGCAAACATCTTATTGGTCGTAAAATAGACTGTACTATCTTCATGCAAAATATAATTTTTTTTTGTGGAGATTTTGGGTTGAAATAGCATCACTCAACTCCATCATCAGTGCAGAACAGACAGAAGTGTGTGTGCTACAGGTAGGGTCACCTCCCCCGTCTCAGAGAGATGCTCTGTAGGTGTCTGGCCCTGCTACGGGGGTCTGTGGGTTTGCTGTCCTCTTTCTGCGGGCGGGAGGGCAAGTAGGAGTTGGCACAGTAACTGGGTTTCTTACTGTATCTGACCAGGTGGTATTTGCGGCGAGTCGAGGCTGCAAAAAACAGAGCAGATTCTTAACAACCATTCTGTTAATACAGCTGTTGTACATTTTTAAAACATAAAGATCAAATATATCAAAATAAACACTCAAACTCGTCATCTGAGCCCTTTGAGTAAAGATTTATTGTCACAAAAGTGCAATTAAGGAGCATCAAAACAAGCATGATCACATGACCACACCTGCCTTATGATTTAATTTTTTTTTCTTTTTGAAATAAAAAAGTAATGAATGGATCAACAGAATTAATGTAGAAAAAAATACATCTCATGACAAATTATACTTTGGGAAGTAATAAAAAGGTTAACGAAACAATGTGTGGATCTCAAAATATGTTTGACGGCAGTGATGCAGTACACTAGATAGCCAACAGATGACTGTACAGCATGATTTATGCCACTAGTGCACTGCTGATCAGAGTATCCTTTTATTTTACTAATAGAAATTAGTATGTGTTTGAATGCAGGAGAAAATACGCTGTACATGAGGATTTCAAACCAAAAAAAACTAAATTAAAAATAGCTTAGTTTTGACATAAACACAGAGGTTTCCTGGCAAACACATATGTACTCAACTAAGCCGAACACATGACAGTTACTACAAAGCAGAACTAAACACACTTATTAAGGCAGAATCTCACTGTGCCATATTTACTCATCAACTTCAATATTCTATAAATGTACATTTCACTTACATAATTTCACATTCTGAGCCTAAATGTGCTAAACATGAGGTTAAAAAAAGGACTTTGCTGAAATTTCCAGATTTGAGGCAAGACATTTCTAAAAACAGTTACAGTCAGAGAACGTGTAACTTAGTATGGACTCAGTTCATCCAGCAAAGAGGTTTCTTAATCAGTATTGTGTTGTTTTACATCAAAACATTCTTAAAACAAAGATCAAATTAATTGGACACGGTTTGTTTTCAGATAATATATTTTCAATTGATACTTTTTCTTCTTTCAATTCATAAAGCTCTCTATATGCTATTTGATTTCTGCATAAAACAATATAAAT